CTGGAATAAAGCGAGTTTGTTGTGTACCAAAACAACTTCATTGGTTCTGGCGGGTCCTGATCACTCCCCAGGTGTCAACTAACCTAAACTAAGCAATTACACTTCTGTTTTGGATATCGTTAACGTAGCAACTTGGCCTAACCGCGTCGGGTACAGAATTACGGCATGGGCAAAGTTCCTAACTATTCCTACTGGGAGACCAAGCTGGGTGTGTGTGTGTGTGTGTGTGTGAGGGAGTGTGTGAGTGTGTGAGTGTGTGAGTGAGGGAGTGAGCGAGTGAGAGAGTGAGTGAGTGAGAGAGTGACAACAACACCAACACAACAGTGAGACACACCTGAGAACACCAAATGAAACACCACCACCATTACTGAGACACCTGGACTATATATGTGTCTTATATACTTCTCATTAGTCTGATATAACAGCCACTTACCTGAGTCTGTTGTCTGTGTTGCTGGGAAAGACAAACCACTTACCTGTCTGTACCCTGACGCTGGTACAGGTAGGAGGGTCATTTGTGAATACCTGCAGAAAATAGAAAGTTTCCATCAATCAACGACAAAGAAGAAGGGAAAACTCGCCTCGTCAGATATAATATTTGTATCATGTGAAAGTTTCCCAGTTGTAGGTAGATGGTAATTGAGAGTTTCGTCTGGCGTAGGTTGTGATCGCCTGACGTAGCTGATTTCTCGTATAGGTGTTGTGTTTTATTTTTGTTATGGTGCGGCATTAAGAGACTCGGAGGCCCCAGGTGCTCGTCAGGTATACACACACATGGGTAACACGTCATAATAGTTACTAGGTAGTCCTCAACAGTGGCGGCCTCCTCCTCCTCCTCCTGCTCCTCTCTCCTTCTCCTCCTCCTCCTCTTTCCTTCTCCTCTTCCTCCTTTTCCCTCCCACCAACCTCTCTCCTTCTAATCTCTTCCCTATTCCTCCCTCCCACCAATCTAAAGCTTCCTCTTCCCTTCCAACAACCTCTCCTCCTCCTCCTCCCTCCCACCAACCTCTCCCCTCCTCACAGCCACATTACCTGAGCCATCCTCCCCCCTCCCCCCTCTACTCCCCCGTCCTCGCCAATCCATTTTCTGAACCACCTGTGGGCCGTCGGGGAGTACCTGCTCGCTGCTATAGATTCATTACCTGGCAGCAGAGGTTTGCGATTCTTGAACACACACGAGTTGCTTTTGTTTTTCTCGTGCACCGATGAACCCGAGTCTAAATGCTGTCAACGGAACCTTCCCACACACTCACTCTCTTCCCCCTTTACGCCTGCACTCAAGAGGGCCTCGGCTTCCACTCTCAGCTGGGCACTTAAAGACCGTAAGACATACTTGGGGAAGTGTATGTGAACGCTTAAGACACTAGGAGACGTGAATGGGGATCGGGAAGGTCCTGTTTGGTGGTGAGGCGGTGGACTCGTGCAACACCTAAGTGCCCCATCACGCCTCCGTCGGACGCACCTGAGATGGTTACCTGAGTGAACCCTGGTGTGCCTTGTATCGTCTCTTGTTTTATTTTTATTTACTTTTCCTTCTGGTTATATTACTTTCTTTATTATTTATCTTTATGTTCTGTTTCGTTCTTTCTTCTCTGTGTCATTAATTTTATTTCTTTTTGTCTTTTTCTCTTTGTCATTTTTCTTGTTAATCTCTCTCTCTCTCTCTCTCTCTCTCTCTCTCTCTCTCTCTCCTTCATCCCATATCTTTTTTATATTGATAATAATAATAAAGAAGAACAACGATAATAACAGTAACAATGACCAGAAACAAACACAACCACCACCGCCACCACCAACAACAACAACGAACGTAACCTACTTTGGTAACTCAGCGGCGGAGGAGTTACCAGAGCGTGTATTTTCAGCCATAATAACAAGACGCCTCGTATATCACAGGTAGGAACGGACGCCAAGAAGCACAATGAAATTAGTCTTAGCGTGAGTGACAGCGTGACACAGAGGGGAGGGTCAAGACTAAGAGGCCTGAACCTGTCTTGTTTGTGACCCTTGGTACAGGGGGAGGAAGGGTAGGGTAAATAAACACGAAGGAAATATGATAAATAAGGAGAAAAGTGGGAATGGATATGCAAGATAAAATAAACCTAACCAAACCTAACTTAACCAAACCTAACCTAACCAAACCTAACGTAACCAAACGTAACCTAACCTAACCTAACCTAACCAAACCTAACGTAACCAAACGTAACCTAACCAAACCTAACGTAACCAAACGTAACCGAACCTAACCTAACCTAACCAAACCTAACGTAACGAAACGTAACCTAACCAAACCTAACCGAACCAAACCTGTTTATAATTCTCGTACGAAATTGACAAAAAAAACTTTCTTTTTGTTTATTTACCTGAATAGAACAAAACCTCTTTCATAAAACTAGAAATAGAGAAGATAAAAGAAAATCTGAATAAAGGTTCACAATACAGAGAGAGAGAGAGAGAGAGATTAAAATGCAAAGCGTAAGAGAAGTAAAAATAGAAAGTAAGGGTGAAAGTAAAAGGTTAAGAGAGATAAAGAGAATGTGGGACCGAGAGAGAGATAAATGGAAAGAGAAGAAGAGCAAATAAATGGAAGAAAGAGAGAGAGAGAGAGAGAGAGAGAGAGAGAGAGAGAGAGAGAGAGTGAGTTACTCCAGCTTAAATTATCCCTAAAAGCTCTTGAGAGTCTACCATTAACAAAGTAAGAAGAATAAGAAGAAAAAAATCTCACGAAATTACAATGAAAAAGAAACAGGATTTTTTTTTCCGGGTTATGTAAGAAAAATTCCGATACCTGGATTTTTTTTATTATGACTCTGAATTAAGTAAAAAATAAACCTGTTTATATAAAAGAGATACTTTATAAAATGACTGACTTCAATACACTGTTTATATAATACGGAAAAATAGTTTATGTAATATGGATATAAATTCATATATATTGTTCATTAACTTGAGTCAACAAATTGTTTATACTCAGCAGTTAAAACAGGTTATAGTCGTTAAATTAATTAGTACACAACTAATCGGTAAATTACAGTAGATTATAACACACACACACACACACACACACACACACACACACACACACACACACACACACACACACACACTGCAATAATTACGACCCCTAATTATATAACTCCACTACTGAGGGTAATTTATTATTCTGGGAAGAATTAGTATAGCTAAATTATGATTAACTAAGATTAGTACACAGAGGCCAAATAATTATCTAGGCTTTATCCTTCTGATCATATTTATGGTGAGGGAGGGAAGGAGGGAAGGAAGGAGGGGGGGAAGGGGGAAAGAAAGAAGGGAGGGAAGGAGGAAAGAAGAAAGGAAGGAGGGAGGGACGGACAGGGGCGTAAGAGGGGAACAAGTGTGTGTGTGTGATGGTTAAGCGAGAGAGAGAGAGAGAGAACCATGATAAATAATAATAATAATAATAATAATAATAATAAAAAACTAACAAGAAATCATCAACCTCAAAACAATATGTATGGTAACCTGTTGTCTTTATATAGCCGAACAAAAACAATAAAGCAAAACAAATCACAAATATTTTTTTTTTTACCATTGTTTATAGACGTGACTGTTTGACCCGTACACAAGAGCGAGGATTGGGAGGGGGATCTATGTGTACATCTCTCTCTCTCCCTCCCTCTCTCTCTCTCTCTCTCTCTCTCTCTCTCTCTCTCTCTCTGTCTCTCTCACGGCTTTACCTATTACACGAAGTTAGACGTGAACTTCCCCCTAACTCTATACTCATAGGACAGGTTTATACACCCAGCACGTGTCTGTAAAACTTTTGGAAGCATCTTTGAAAAACTTGGACACAGTATCGGTGAAAGAGGAAGGGAGGTAACTGAGAGAAAGGGAGAGATTGAGGGAGAGAAGGAGGTAGGTAGAGAGGGGGAGAGATTGAGGGAGAGAAGGAGGTAACTGAGAGAGGGAGAGATTGAGGGAGAGAAGGAGGTAACTGAGAGAAAGGGAGAGATTGAGGGAGAGAAGGAGGTAGGCAGAGAGGGGGAGAGATTGAGGGAGAATAGGAGGTAGGTAGAGAGGGGGAGAGATTGAGGGAGAGAAGGAGGTAGGTAGAGAGGAGGAGGTAAGTAGGGAGGGAGGTAGTCAGAGTGGGAAGGAGGAAGGGAGAGTGGGAGGAAGGTAGGTAGAAAGGAAGGGTGGAAGGGAGTAAGTGAGATAAGGAGGGAAGGAGAGAGGGAGGAATGAAGGAAGGGAGTGAGAGAAGCTGGGAAGGAGTGAAGGGTAGACTATATCTTCGGTCGATGGGCAATAAGCAGTTTGTCTCACGTTTAAAGTTGGCCGAATCATGCAGAATCTCTCTCTCTCTCTCCTACTTCCTTTCCTTTCCTTTACTTTCTATTTCCATCCCCCTGCTTTTCCTCTCTCCTTCCTTCCATCCTCCTCTTCCCCCCTCCTTACCCTCCTCCCCTTCCTTCCTCCTCATCCTCCTCCTCTTCCTCTCTCCCTCCCTCCCCTTTCTCCCTCCCTCCCTAAACCCAACTTTCACCACTTGTCCTACTTTCACTAATTGTTTTCCTTTCACCACTCGTCTCACTTTTACAATTTGTCTTAATTTTCACCACCTTTCTTCTCCTTTCTCTCTCCCTTTCTCTCTGGTTTACCTACGCCTAAAATCTCATCCTAACTTTCATCATATGTCTTACTTTCTCTACTTTTTTCCTTCGTCTTTTTTTTACTTACTTTCTCTACTCTTATTTTCTTTTCTACATATCAACTCAACTTTCCCCATTTGTTTTTACTTTCACCGTTTCTCTTTCACTTTCTTTCTCTTTTCTCTTATTTTATCTTCCATAACTTTCCCCCTCCCTTTCTTTCTCATTCTTCTGTTTCACCTTTCACTTTAATTTTTTTTTCTAATATACTTTCTTTTTACTTATTTTCTTATTTCCATTTTCATCCATTTTTGTCTATTTCTCTATTCATTTCCTCCTCTTACGTGTTTTAATATTCTATACAAGACAAACGAGAAGAAGGCAAACGAGAAGAAGACAAACGAGAAGAAGACAAACGGGAAGAAGACAAACGAGAAGAAGACAAACAAGAAGAAGACAAACGAGAAGAAGACAAACAAGAAGAAGACAAACAAGAAGAAGACAAACAAGAAGAAGACAAACAAGAAGAAGACAAACAAGAAGAAGACAAACAAGAAGAAGACAAACGAGAAGAAGACAAACGAGAAGAAGACAAACGAGAAGAAGACAAACGAGAAGAAGACAAACAAGAAGAAGACAAACAAGAAGAAGACAAACGAGAAGAAGACAAACGAGAAGAAGACAAACAAGAAGAAGACAAACGAGAAGAAGACAAACGAGAAGAAGACAAACGAGAAGAAGACAAACAAGAAGAAGACAAACGAGAAGAAGACAAACAAGAAGAAGACAAACGAGAAGAAGACAAACGAGAAGAAGACAGAAGAAGACAAACGAGAAGACAAACGAGAAGAAGACAAACAAGAAGAAGACAAACAAGAAGAAGACAAACGAGAAGAAGACAAACGAGAAGAAGACAAACGAGAAGACAAACGAAGAAGACAAACAAGAAGACAAACAGAAACAACTCCACCATATCATAAGACGAGCCACAGTACCACAATATCTGTCAGCGGTAATGTCAATCTAAAAGTGTCTCAGACCGAGGGTGAGAGGGAGGGAGAGAGGGAGGATGAGAGGGGGAGAGGATGAGAGGGAGAGGGAGGGAGAGAGGGAGGATGAGGCGGAGAGAGGGATGAGATGGGGAGGGAGGAGGATGAGGAGGGAGAGGGAGGATGAGAGGGGATAAGAGGGAGGATGAGAGGGAGGATAGGAGGATGAGAGGGAGAGAGGGAGATAGGAAGATGAGAGAGAGAGAGAGAGAGAGAGAGAGAGAGAGACAAAACGTCTTAGCACAATCCGTCGTGTTATCCAGCAATTGTCATCCGTGCAACACAATCCGTCACCATCCGACACCATCCGTCAGGTCTCCGTCGTTTATTCTGGCGGGAACCCTTGGTCAATCTTAATTAATTCATTATTGGTGTCTTACAATAGCCTCTCTCTCTCTCTCTCTCTCTTTCTTTCTTTCTTTCTTTCTTTCTTTGTGAGGCCAGACCGGACGAAGCTAAGTGTTGAAACCACTGATTTAGACTTTGTGGTGGCGATAATTGAGGATAAAACAATAGTGAATTAACCTGACCTGACCTGACCTGACCTGACCTAATTTAATGTTAAAACAAAAGTCACTATTTTTATCAGGTTCTTACACTAAATTACTCTCATCAGGCCCTTAACACGCCATAATCTTTAACAAAACAACCCATTAGTGAATCCTTTTTTATAAGAGTATTTTTTTCAGATGACGTTAAGATTAGCCCCGTCAGATTATTTCGCCTTAAAATTAACCTAACCTAACCTAACCTAACCTAACCTAACCTTGGTACCCAATATATGTGTGTGTCATGTTTCACGTCTCTAATTGCATCTGTTTTAGAGCTATGGCTGAAACAGACAGACAGACAGACAGGCACCCCCACAGCCAGACACGTTCTTTTATTATAACAGATACCTTTATGTAAAACCCTATAGCGGTCTCGTAAACTTCGCTCTTCAATTATCTCTCCACCATTCATAACGTTACTAGAGCTTCACTGAACACTAAAAAAAAAAACCATTAAATTTCCTCCTAGTTATTATCCCCGCAACAGTCTAGTCGAATCATTTATCTAATTCCTGATGTCTGGAGGCAGCTTATCCCCTGGAGGTTGTGAGTCGACCCAACTTTGTAATGGCGCTGTATGGAGGACACACCGCCTTTATAATCTCCACTCCCGTTGATAAATGACCTGGGGGGAAGAAAGACCAATGGCGTGAGGTCATAGAGGCGAAATTCCGCGTCAGGGAAGAGAGGTTTTCGCGGGTAATTTCCTCTCCGGTTGACAACAATAAAACCCAGTTAATTATATACAGCTGGGAAGGTCTTGTAATCCTCGCCTCGGTTCAAACAGTCACGTGTGTCGACGGAAATACCCAGAGAGATGTACTTCCTGATTTTAACGACTCTGATTTTGCCTGGCTTTGTAAACAGAGTAAACAAAAGAAAACAAAATACTGTACGATAGTTTGAGTCGCTCTACTGGCAACAGGCCAATTGTAGCACAACTTCTCTGCCGGGCGTATGAGGAATTGTTTTTTTGTTTCAGCTGTGACTCTTTTGGCGGGAACAATTATTTTTGGGGAGTTAAGATGAAATTTATTGAGTTAAACGTTAAACTTTTATTGCTGGAGTAATAATAATAATAATAATAATAATAATAATAATAATAATAACAATATGACCAACGACAACAAACAACAACAATACAATCATCATTATTAACTTGAAATATTTATCCACCACCTGGACACCATTTCACCCGTCATCACCACCACCATCACCATTACTATAACACAGTCATGGCTACAGTGTCCCCCAGATGATGACACTAAAAATAAGGTCGAGTCTCAGAGTAATCCTTAATACCATCATCAATCTTATTTTTGTGTCGTAGTTTTGCTTATTAATCTTATTTTCGTGTCGTAGCCTGAGTCACTAATCTTATTTTCGTGTCGTAGCCTGAGTCACTAATCTTATTTTCGTGTCATACCCTGAGTCACTAATCTTATTTTCGTGTCATAGTTTTGCTTATTAATCTTATTTTCGTGTCATACCCTGAGTCACTAATCTTATTTTCGTGTGGTAACTTAAGTGAGGCAGTCAGTCGCGTCTTACATTATACAGTCACTTGATATAAATTAACTTACGAGTATCATAAGAATCCTGCTATACTTTGTGCGTGATATACCAGCTCTAGTGTATTCGAAACCTCGGTATAGCCTCCAGAACGCAGGGAAAAATAAGTTATCAGACTAAAAACGCAAATACCAGCTGAAGAAGTTGATGCCACACACTCACAGGTGCCTGCCTCTCGTGAAGCCTCCCTCAGGTAAGTGATTAAAAGCCAGGTAAACGGTAGCGTCTTTCATCTCTCTCTCGGGTGTAATGAGAAGGGCGACACTCAGATATTCCTGTAAATAATGATAACTGAGTCCTGGTTATTGCTGTGCAGGTGATGATGATGATGATGATGATGATGATGATGATGATGATGATGATGATATTACGAGTTTCAGCGGTTTTGTAATAATTTCTCCCCCTGCATAATACACAATACCTAATATACAAGCCTGGGAATAAAAAATGTTAAACCACAAATATTCGAAACACAACACTGAAACACGACACTGAAACACGACACTGAAACACGGCCACACTGAAACACAACACTGAAAAACACGACACTGAAAACACGACACTGAAACACAACACTGAAACACACTGAAAACACACACTGAAACACAACACTGAAACACAACACTAAAAACACGACAGCACTGAAACACGACACTGAAACACTACACTGAAACACAACACTGAAACACAACACTGAAACACGACACTGAAACACGACACTGAAACACGACCCGGGTTTATTTTATGCCGGGTTAGCTGTCAGGAACAAACACGGCTGCAACAGCTTCAAATATAATTAAGGTTTCGTGGTCTGGCCAGGACAGCACTACGAGTGTCTGTCTGTGTGTGTGTATGTGTCAATATGTCTGTGTGTGTGTGTGTGTGTGTGTGTGTGTGTGTGTGTGTGTGTGTGTTGTGTGTGTGTGTGTGTGTTGTTTTCGTGTCTGCCTCTTTGTCTGTGTGTGTGTGTGTGTGTGTGTGTGTGTGTGTGTGTGTGTGTGTGTGTGTGTGTGTGTGTGTGTGTGTGTGTCTGTTTTGCAAATATAAATATGTACAGAAATAAGAACAAAATATAATTGAAATTTGTGTAGAATTGCGAGATATTTTTTATTTTTTTTTTATTTTCTGTAAAGATAAATAAAAAGTTATTTACAAGGCGTTTGTCTCCTGTCTACTGAATACAAGAGAAAACGAAGAGTAGGTATAGTTCCTTCTCTTTCTCCCTGTCTCTCGTTTGTTCTCTTTCTCTGTCTCTGTGTCCGGGCTTTTTTCTTTCCCCGTATCGTTCATTTACTCTAAATTTCCCTTCTTTGTTTTACTCTCTCTTCTCTCTCTCTCTCTCTCTCTCTCTCTCTCTCTCTCTCTCTCTCTCTCTCTCTCTCTCTCTCTCTCTCTCTCTCTCTCTCTCTCCCTCCTCTCTCTCTCTCTCATATATATCTTCCCTATCCTTATCTCTCTCTTTATATATATATATATTTTCCTGTATCTCTTTGTCACACACACACACACACACACACACACACACACACACACACACACTCTGTCTCTCTCTCCATGAAACGACATATCAAAACTAATTATCCCGGGACACAGTGAGACACTCGTTTGCTCAACTATATCATCATAATTCTCAGCTGACATCAACAACACCCGCTGGTATAAAACGGTTTAATGTGACGCGTTCATTTTGGCGAGGCGTCTAGGTTTACTTGAGGGCTCCCGAGTCACATAGAAAACGAGGAACTAATGTTGACACGCTGAGACTAAAAGCAATATGTGTCATTATTTCCCCGAGTGAGTGTTTTGTATTAGGGTTTAGTTATGTTATTCCCTGTAAACGTGAGGTAGATGGGATTTATTTTGTTAGACGGTGAGTGGCGGAGATTGTGGCGGAGATTGTGGCGGAGTGTTATTGTTTAATGATGTTCCTAGAGTTACCGAGGCCATTATTCCCTGATTTTGTTTCTGATTTTTTCTTAATTTAATTTTGTTTTACTTCCCGCGAGAGAGTTGGCCAGATCTATCCATAACGCATACATATGTAGTAGTAGTTGAATGAGGGTGCGCCAAGTCCGCAGACTTGCTAGTGATAACATTACAATTTTATATATACTGTATATACATATATATTGGGCGTTAAATAAGTAACTTTTTTTAATACCAGACACAACAAAATAATGAGTTGTGTTGATATTTCCCATCTTAATTACAACCCCACACACACACACACACACACACACACACACACACACACACACACACACACACACACACACACACTGGAAGACTTTTGTATAATTTGACCAATTGCCTGTGTGTGAACTGGTGCAGGGATGTTAGGACAGGCTGCCAGGTGCTCTGTTATCTCCTGATGGAGGTCCTGTACATACATACATACATACATACATACATACATACACATACATACATACATACATACATACATACATACATACATACATACATACATACATACATACATAGCCAGCCAAACAGACAAACAAATAGACAGATAAGTAGAGAGAGAGAGAGAGAGAGAGAGAGAGAGAGAGCACAATAGAAAAACACGTTCCACACTCCTCTCTTTGTTGCCTTTCACTTTGAAATTTACTCAGCCATCTGGTGACAGTGATAAACGGAAGGGAAGAGGAGGAGGAGAAGAAGGAAAAGGGAGGAAGAAGAGGAGTAGGAAGGAAAGGTGGAGGTGGGGTGGAAGAGAAGGAAGAGGAGAAGAAGAAGAGGAAAACCAGGAAGAGGAGGAGAACAATGAGATGATGTAAGAGGGAAAGAAAGAGGAGGAGGTGTAGA